ATACTAGACACGGGGTCTATTATAGGACTTAAAATTGGTGGAATGTAAGAGACCCGGGTCTTGTATACAGCGATTTACGGTACGCTTATTTGGCTATTAAAACATTAGAGGCGCACTCGGTGCACGGGTGAATTGTTTAAAAATTTTTCTATAATCTAATTACTGCAAATAAATCAAAACGTAATAAAATACTTTAAACACTAAATTGATTAAATAACTGAAGCTTTTGCCTTGAAGATGGCTTTACAGGACAAGTAATTACTATGCCTCGTAATACACCAATACATACGATATAATCATTTCACCGGCAGCTCATTTAGCCGACATCATAGCTCAAGTAATAATTTATTAACAATATCCCTGTAACTAATCAAATATTAATAATTAAATTTAAGGCTTGAAGCTAGAAGTTAGTGCAACATTACTACTTAGTGTTAATTTAGACTTGGGATTTGGAATTTTACCTAATTTGAGTTCATAACCAAATCCAAATATATACTGTACACCATTTCAAATAAATAGTGTCAAATTCAAAACCAACAATTCAATTTAAAACTTTTAAATTATTCAAAAATTTAAGACTTTTGATCGGGTATATTGATATCCAGGTTCAAAGATTGATATTGCTTAACGTTAAAGACCGAATTAATTTAATTGGTTATATGATATGGTGTAAATCATTGCTCGAATAACTTTATACATTTCAAGAATGCAATATTTTACTAATCAGAAATCACAGCAAATATCATTTATAACTTTAATAAAGTGTTAGCGTCCATTATGCAAAAAAAAAATCAAACTCCTGAAGAACTTTGCTTAGAAAACAAATTATGCTATCGCATATTGCATTACGTCGGATTGGCGGAACTGGACCTTTTAATTAGACCCTAAATTGATCATTTTAAGGGTAATAGATTAATAAATTATATGGACATCAGTTATCTAAAGCTAGTGCATGTTACTTTTGTGTTACTTTATGAAGTAAATTTAGGGTTCAAATTTAAGTATCTAAACAAAGGTCCAATTCCGCCAATCCGCCGTAATGATTATGTTAGAAGTATTTCGGAATTTCTTATAATTTTTGGCCCGAATTAGGGTGGCTTGCTTGCATTATAAATATATATAAAAAATCATGCGCATAGTTATAATTTATACACATTGCACATCCACTAGTTAGAAGAACCACATTATTATCAAAAATTTGTAAGGGAAACGCTACAAATTTTTCTATAAACAAATGATAAAAAAAATAAAGAAAATAAAAAATATTAGAATTATTAAAAAAATTTTCGTCACCTACTAATTTTGTTTATTAATTTTATTGCAGTCTTTGTTAGTGCGTAGTAGAAGGCAGTTTTATGAGCAAACTATTGGTTACAAACAATTACTTGTTCTTTTGCGCTACTTTTCGTTACACCTGATCTCAAATTTTGATTGACCGGTTAAAATTTTTCAGGGTGAAAACACTAATAATAATAATACTAATACTAATACTAAATCAGGAGTTTATAAAAATTCGCCATTATAAATTTGTGCACAGTATAAATTTTTTACTGTGAGAACAGTCAGTAATAGTAATGTAAGTATTTAATAATCATCTACTATTGTACAATAACTAATTTCATCCATAATTATTAATTTGCTGGTTAAGCTTAATATTAATGATTGATTATTCATTAACCGATATTCGTATTTAAGTTTTTTTAAATTCATCATTATATAATTATCATTAATTTTTTATTCGTATTATCATAAAAAATGATAAAATAAACTGAGTTTTGGAATAACATTTTAAAAATAAATAAAGTGTCTAAAGCCTTGTATGTGCTTAAAACTTTTAAAATCAAAAAGTGAGCTTTACGATAACCAAGATCATGATTTTAAAAATTATATAAAATTAAATCTATTTCTTATTTAAAAATAAAAAATGTCTTCTATTTTAATTAAAATCATCACGTATTTTAATTCTGAATTAACTCAATAACAAATAATTGATCAATTATTAAAGACGTACTCTTGTACAAACAAACCATACTGCATTGCATGATAATCTCGCATAAGTTGCAAATTGAACAGATATATTATTAATGATTTATAAGTTTTATATGTGCGAATAACTTTATTGCTATTTTTAATCAAGCATTTTTTAATAATGAAAACATTTATCTGAAATCAAATTAATTATTTTGTTAGCCTAATTAGTATGCTTAATGTAGAATTTATATAAAAGATTTTTTTAACGAATTAATATTTTTATAATTAAATTGATTTCCGTAAAGATTTAAGGAGGTTAATGTAACATTTTTACGAAGAGCTTCTGCAAAAGCTTTTCCAGCTTCAAAATTAAGTTCATTATCAGAAAGATCTAAAGAAGTTAGAGTAGTATTTACACAAAGAGCCTCAGCTAACGCCTTTCCTCCTTCAAAACCAATTATATTATTGCTAATATCTAAAGAAGTCAAAGTAATATTTTTACGAAGAGCTTCAGCTAATGCAATCCCTCCTTCATAATTAATCGTATTACAACTAATATCTAAAGAATTTAAAGTAGTATTTTTATGAAGAGACTCTGATAATGCTATTATTCCCTCAGAACCAAGATGATTGTTATAAACATTTAAAGACGTTAAAGTCTTATTGATGCAAAGAGCATTTGCTAATACTATTCCTTCTCTAACACCGAGTGAATTGTAAGAAAGATTTAAAGAAGTCAAAGTGGTATTTTTATGAAGAGCATCTGCTAATGATTTTGCACCTTTAAATCCAATTTCATTCTTACTGATAATTAAAGAAGTTAAAGTGGTGTTGTTGCAAAGAGACTCTGCTATTGCCATTGCACCCTTAGGACCAACTTGATTATCATAAATATTTAACGAGGTTAGAACTGTGTTTACGCAAAGAGCTTCTGCTAATGCTTCCGCACCACGATAACCGAGTTTATTACTATAAATATTTAGGGAAGTGAGTGTTGTGTTGTTACAAAGAGCTCTGGCTAACACACTCCCTCCTTCAGGACCAATCCTATTATTATTAATATTTAAAGAAGTCAAAGCAATATTTTCTTGAAGAGTCACAGCAAATGCTTTTGCGCCTTCAGAACCAAGTTGATTTTCATAAATATTTAAAGAAGTCAGAGTAGTGTTTACGCAAAGGGCTTCAGCCAGCACATTTCCTTCATCAGGACCGAGTTTATTATAAGAAAGGTTTAAAGAAGTTAAATTGGTGTTGTTACGAAGAGCCTCTGCCAATGCTTTTACACCTTTAAACTCAATTCTATTTCCACCAAGATTTAAAGTAGTTAAAGCCACATTTTTATAAAGAGCTTCGCCCAATGCTTTCGCACCTTTAGAATCAACATGATTACTATAAATGTTTAAACAAGTTAAAGTAGAATTTTCATAAAGAATCTTTGCTAATGCTTCGACACCATTAGAACCAAGTTGATTATTATAAATATCCAAAGAAGTTAAAATTGTATTCTTACGAAGAGCTTCAGCGAGAGCTTTCCCTTCCGCAGGACCAAGATAATTACGAGAAAGATTTAGATAAGTTAAAGTAGTGTTATTGCTAATAAAATCCGGTAATAATTTTATTTCATCAGAATTAAAATGATTATGACAAAGACTTAAATTGATAACACTATTATTCATATGAAGACCTTTAAAAATTATTTTATTAATAGTGTTATTAAGAGTTAAATATTTAAGTTTCTTACTCATTCTTAAAAACATTGAAACTAAAGAACTTTTAATAGCATTAACAAGTTCATCACCATATCTTCTATAACGAGATCTATCAGCTCCATAACCTTCTTCATTTAACCAATTTTTAACACCATCAGTTAAATCAAATCCAACCGATACAATATAACTTGTATATTTAAATAAAGTCATTTGATAATTTGGAAGTATGATGTTAAAAGGAATTAATAAAGATTGTTCTTCTTCGTTTAAAGCCAAAAGACATAATCTTATAAGTCTTTTATCATCAAAATAATCAGTTGGTTCACTCCATAAAATTGGTATTATAACTCTACACCATCGACGATTAACAAGAAGGCAAGAATATAAATTTTTATAATCATTTCGAAAATTTTTAAATATTTCGATAAAACATTCATTTGGTAACATTATCATTTTGAAAAATGAATGAAAAATGAAATCAAAAAAAATACGTATTCGGGTACAGTATGTAACATAATATATATAGTAAAATTGTTGTGATGTTGTGGAACGTTGCAACAACAATGATTTAATTATAAACGCTTCTGTTTAAGTCTGATTTAATAAATGACGTAACTACGTACCGATACGGTAAAAAATTGATACGTATTTAATCAAGGGGGCACAATTGTATGTAACAAGAAATTAGATTAAATTTAAACTCTAAAGAATTGATTCAAGTTACGCAGAATACGATACTACGTATATATGTTCGTACGTGCGATACTATTTTCGATTAAAGAAAGCTTTTCACTAAATTATTGATGATTCATACGTTAAACCTTTTATGACAAACAAAACTTTGAAGAATAAATTGGACTAATAAAACATAAATAAATGGAAATCAATAAACTATGTAAAATTGATAATTGCTTATCATAAGTATTGTGGAAGATGCATATGCAGATGCAGATGTCGAAGTTTGGAATCTAAAACCCTAAATCGAAAAAAAAACCAAAAATGTATCACAAAATTCAAACTTCAAAAATTAAAATAGAACAAATATTATTGTCTTTCTTTTAAAGGTAATTTAAAACTTTGGGATTTTGAATTTTCGGAATTCATAATAGATACGTTAGTTAACTTAAAAAATTTATTTAATTCTTTTCAGATACTCTCTCTAAGTAATAGAAATCTATAACTTCATATCATTTAAATAATGTTGAAACTAAAGATTATTAAAAAAAAGTCTTACAGTAATTACAGAATATGTTCGTCCTTGCTGGTTCTACGCAGCTATTCTTATGATAAGTTGCCTGTTTTCTACTCAATATCAAATTAATAAGATGGCGCAGAAATAGAATCGGGCTGGATAGTCCCCAATTTACCCAATTTACCCTTTTCAAATTTTTTAGGACCAAGTTCTTCAATTTTATAACCGTTTTGATAGGTATTCTCATAAGGATGAAACCGTGGTATGTAAATTTTTGACGAATCCATTTCATCAATATTTAAATTTTTTCTTACACATAAATGATCATTATTTCCCATAATAGTAATGGGATTATCAGGTATCCGAACTGTTCGGATTGTTTGGGGAAGCATTAAATGGCGTATGAATAATGCTCGAGTTTTCAAAAGAAATTTTATCAGAAAAACAAGCCATGTTGGTTGTTTTGGATATCCCATAGCAACTAGAAAGTGATCATCAAGAAGACTATAAATAACTTTTCGGGCAAATGGTTGAAGAAATAGAGGAACCTGTGAAAGAAATAGTCGTATAGTTCCTTCTGCTGCTGTAGGATTTGATTTGTTGTACATCATATATTTTACTTCAAAATCCTGATCGATATTATTGTATTGACGTTTAGACCATAATAAACATATTGTTTTAAATACGTAAAATAGAATAAATTTCTACCTCTTTAAATTTGACCATGTCATCGTAAGTAGGAGGAATTTCTTTGATACTCATGCGTATTCCTATTTCCTTCCAATATTCATAAATTGCCTACATTATAATACCAAGTTAGAATTTTAATGATAATTTAAAATAAATAAAAGAAGTTTTTCTCACTTCAGTTTCTATGTTTGTCAATTTCCTCCAACCAAATTCGTTGATCCATTTTGGTGGCTCACAGATGAATAAAGAAAGCGTATAAAGCATATCTTTATTTTCAATTGGATAAAATTTATGGATGAAATTCATCCTTTTAATAGCCGTTTCTGCTCTTTCTGAATCAAGTGGATTTTCACAAAATTCTCTTATAATTAAATCAGTATCATCATAACGTTTGCCACATCGGTATACCATTTCTCCTGTACTCCCAATTATTTTTGATATGCTGGGGATTCCTAAAACTCTGAAAAATGCAAATTCTAAAGATTTTAAAGAAAGTAAAGGATGTTCTAATTTAGAAGTAACATCCGTAATTTCAAAAGCTGCATTATTATTATTTTTTACGGATGAATATTTCTCTAACAATAATTTAATACGCTCGTAACGTTTATGACGTACGTATATGATGTAGAGTAAGAGAACTAAAGCTAGAATATAAATCGACATGATTTAAACGTTATTTTTGATTAAAAGCACTGAAGTGAGTTAATTATATTACAGATTAGTTACTTGCTTTAAAGTTTATCGTACATGTTTATATCACATATTAAACCAGAAACTTGGTATGTGCGTACTGTACGTACGTACGTGTGTACAGTGAGATGCACCCTCTTTAACTGTACAACCTCCCTAAATGCAATACAGTATGCACATGACTTCTGAAAACTGCATTTTTCTTATTATTTTTTGCAATGCATATTTGTTGAAAATCAAGCTCTATAGGGTGCATTTGATTTTTGCAGGGCTTATGATTTTGAATCGAGTCCCCAAATTTCAGCATAAGTCAATTTCAGCTCCAGATTTTCAGAATTTATGACAGAAAAATCACGTTTTCGTGCTGTCAAATGCATTAAGTAAGTTGTAGTACTATACTTAAGTTAGAAATATCTAATCGTAGAAGTACAAATTTAAATAAGACAAAAAGATGACCCATCATTTTTTTTATACCGGATGTTTGTAAAGCTCCTATACAGTACATGGTCCTTTTTTTTTAAAAAAAAAAATCCTATATATATGGAGATCGTGATAATTATTTATGCAGTACTTAAAAAAAAAGGACCATGTATAGATATTGATGTTAAATGACAAAGTCATAAACCTTTTTATGAAAATGAATATAAATGACATGTCATTTTTATAAAAACTTCTTATACAAAACCATGGCACAATGACAAGTAATAAAAAAAATATTTTTATAAATGACATTAAAATGGCAATAATTGGGCTGGAGCGGAGGGAAACGGAGTGTAAGTCCTTTCTATGGTCTACTAATTTGGGTCGATGTCCGGCTC